CCCAAAAACCCCCGAGCAGCAAATTTTAACTGAAACTGAATCATTTTTATTTTTTTTGTCTACCATTTTGGATCCGCCATTTTGAATTTCTGAAAACGAAGTTCAGATTCGTAATCAGCATCACCGAAAACCCCCGTGTACAAAAATTCAGGCGAATTTGATGACGTTTTCGCACTGTAACAAATATTTGTCAAATGTTGCAAAATTTTTCCATGGAATTGACGCCATATTGAGTCCGCCATTTTGGAATTTTGAATTCTACACTATTTTTCGGATGAAAAAAAATAACAAAATGAAACTTTTTTGTGAATTTTTGCATTAAAATTACCATATTTAATTTTGGATTGGACGAAATTTATTTTTGACACCGGATTTGAAAAGAGCACACTCAAGAAAATGTATCTTCGATAAAAAATATTGTGCATTGTACCCGAGTCGAAATTTAGACTCTCTATAAGTTCTCTAAAAACCTCCTTTTATTCTCCTTTTATTCTCTCCAACACTTTCATACCCTCTTTTCGACCTCGAATTTGCAAAAGTGGAAATATCTGCTATATTGGAGGCTGAAAGGAGGGTTTAAAGATGACTAGAGAGGCGTAAAAGAGGTTAAAAAAACAAAAAAAAAACGAAAAAATAAAATTAAAAATATGTAAAAATTGGATTTTTTTTCTTATGGACATTATTTATTGACCCTATTGAAGATATATTTATTGATCTTTGTCGTAATACTATAAAACTTTTAGGAGGAATAAAACTTGGAAAAATTCAAATTAAGAAAAAATTCCAAGACCTCTTTTCAACCTCTAAACATGCAGATTTGGAAATAAGCGCATGATTTCAGGTTGAAAAGAGGCTGAGAAAATCGAGGGTGAAAAGAGGGAAAAATTTCGACTCGGGTATTCATAAGAACGTATCTTGAAAGTGAACAAAATTTTTTGTTTTGGTTGTTAATGATAGTTAAAACAGTGGTAAAAAATTTCATTTGAGTTCAAAACTTCTACGACCTCTCTAAAATTTGTGTTGAAAAAAAAAATATTTACCTGAAACAGCGAACTTTCACTAAAATAGCCAAAGTTTTAATTATTTATGTTAGAATTTTTAAAATTTTTTCTTGTAGTAAAAGTTTTCTTTGTAATATTGTATCTCTTATTCGTCATTTTCCAGCAGTCCCAAAAATATATAGTTGACTTCATTCAACGTTAATAATTTAAACCTAATGTTGATATTCGTTCGTAAATCCTTAGCGACAAGAAAGCTCATTTTGTTTGGAGTGATAAATTCACCTGTCCAGTTTACGTGCCTGAACCTGTACGTGTCAGAATTGAGAGCAAATTTAGGCCTGTGCCTCCATGTTTTCTGTGTTAGGCGCCCTCGGATAGAAAAGAAGAAGGGAAAAGAAAAAAAGAAGCTTAAGAGAGAGAGAGAGGAAGACGGAGGAGAAAGGAAAGAGGATAAAAGCACAATGGAGGGTAAGAGAGAAACGATCCGCTCAGCTCTTCTTTACACGTTGCGACGGCAGCGAGTTTAACAGTAACAGTACGTCATCCTGTCCGTCTCTCTTGGCTCCTTCTTTCTATCTCTGTTTCTCATGTAGCCCCGCACACTGCCCAACTACCTTCTCTCATTCTCTTTATCATGGTCTCTCGCACTCTCCTTAACAGCCTTCACTCTCTAAAAGCCTGGGTGTGATCTATAGCGGGACGTTGCGTCACTCTGGGAACAGATGCAGGGATCGTATATTACCCAGCCATATCTACTAGAAAGAGAGAGAGAGAGAGTCTCACTCCAAAAGACAGAGTAAACCGAATACCGCACGGTCAAAAGAATGGCGAACGACACAAATCACTCGACCTTTTGTGTTCCAGATCTGATTTTTCTAGGGGGTGGAAAAAGAAGTTTGCTCGAGTCCAAAAAATCCAAACTCTCACAAGGATCGATATTCTCACGGCGATAATGATAATTCCTCAAGATTTAGTGACTTGGGGTTGCTGGAAACATTTCGAATTAATTTATCGTCGATTAAGCCTTATCTGCAACAGTCAGAGCCTCCAGAATTAAGTCACCATAATTTAGAGATTCTGTTACACGCCTCTAACTGCCGGGATGTAATTTAAATCGAAACGGTAGGTTCTTAAATCTACCTTCATCGAGTTGAGAACGCAAACAAAAAACTTCCGAAAAAGATAATAAAAAAAAGAAGACGTAACCAATTTTTTGGTATTTTATTTGTTTCTTATTTTTTTTTTGATGACAAAAAAACATTGAGTCAAGATTGAATAGTGCTGAAATTAACATTTTTAAAATTGTACGTATACAAAAAAATTCTAAAAATTATTTTATAATAATTTACTACATTTAACAATAGCAGTTGAAGATCGAATTTTGTGAGAGTTAAATTAATTAAAATGCGATTAATTTCATGAAATATCCATTATACCTTATTTAAAAATTATTGGAATGCTAGTGCCAAATACAAATTAATTAAATAAAGAGAAATTTTAGGTACATAGATACCAGTATAGTTTTATTAACCCTCATTTTAGTCATAAAAAGTAGTTACAATAAAGAAATGTTTCTGCAAGTAATAATAACAATAAAAAAATGTACCTCGTAGGTGGCGCCACGTTCTATGTCGTTTAACACATAACCATATATAACATAGCATGTATGTATTAATACATTAAATGATTTAAAAATAAAAAATCAATTAAATTAATATTAAAATTCCCTTTTATTTGTCTATTATTATCAAGTAGAGGACCACACGTAGAGGACCTCTTCCAAAAAAGTCTAATAGAATCGTTTTCGTTTTTTTTTTTTTTTTAATTAAATTTTAATTATTTTGGGAACAAATTTTTAATTAAGTAAGCAATGGTAGAATTTGAAATATAGATAAACAGTTATGCAGAAGGGAAATTATATGTTATTTTCGAGAATTGAAAATGAAATAAATTTTGAACAACAATAATACACGTCCAACACATTCACAAGGGAGAGACGAATCGCTTCTCGTTATTATTTTCCTTGTTAATCCATATCACCACGCCTGTGAAACGTTAGGTTAATTTATGTAACGTTTTGGGTAGCAGGGAAAATCAGAAAGTCAGAAGGAAAGCTGGACGCTCACCCCGGGAATTCTCACTTTGTCGCTATCGTAGCTAGTCGTATATCTTTTGGATGTACGCCCTCCAAAATGTGCTGCCTTTGTTTTAGATATTTATGAGACATTTTAATTCGCGCTCAACGTCAACCTCTTTTGGGGGACCCGTAGAGAGAGAGAGAGTAAGGGGGGGGGGGTTGAGAGAGAGAGAGAGATGTAAGGGGATAATAGGCATAAGGGCGTTCCAATAAAATCTCCATGTAGGTTTCTTTCTTCTACTCCATCTTTTTTTCAACTTTGAATACTTTATTGCTTCGCATCCGAAAATCCATCTCACCCACAGTTTTCTTTTTTTCTTCATTATTGTTTAAATTCCCAAAATTTACGGGGGTCGGTTATGTAATTCCATTTCCATTTCCCACTATTTCTAATTTTCATTCCAACTTCCATTTCCACTTTTTCTAAAATTTTCATTCCCATTTCTATTTTTTCTAAATTTCAATCTCATTCCATTTCCACTTTATTTAATTTTCTCTCTCATTTTCATTTCTATTTTTTTCAATCTCCTCTCCCACTTTTTCTTCATTCCACTTTCTATATTCTAATTCCACTTTTTCCAATTTCCATTCCCATTTGCACTTTTTCTAATTTCAATTCGCACCTCCTTTTCCACTTTTTTAAATGTCCATCCTCAATTCCACTTTTTCTTATTTTCACTCCCACTTCGACTTTTTCTAATTTCAATTCATTCTAATTTAAAAAAATTAAAATGGATGCGTGAATGGAAATTAGAAAAAATGGAAGTGGAAATGGAAATGATAATGAAAATTAGAAAAAGAGGAAGTTGGAAAGGGGAAAAAAAGGAAATGAAAATTAAAAAGTGGAAATGGGAGTAGATTTTAGAAAAAGTGGAAATGGGAGTGGAAATGGAAATTGGAATGAAAATTAGAACAAGCGGAAGTAGAAATGAAAGTAATTAGAAAAAGTGGAACTGGAAGTGGGAGTGAAAATAAAAAGTGGAATTAGAAGTGGAAATAAAAAAGTGGAATTGGGAAATTTGAAAATAAATTAATTAATTAATTAATAATTAGTATAATTATTAGTATTTATTATCATTAATTAGAAATCCCCTTATTAAGTTTAATTTATAATTATTCACATATTTTTAAAATTATTTTCTATAATTTATATTATTTTTTATGAAAAGGTCTATATATCCAATCAGGATATAGAAAAGGAAATTAAAAGTTGAGAGACCTAATAAGCATTACAAATTTTCTCTACATACCCTGAGTTGCTAAATTACTATGATGATGTATTCGAAGGATCTTCGAGGGGAAGATAATAGAGGAGTATTGAAGAAATCAATATATATGAAGATAATCCCTTGGTCATCGTATTTTTTCGTCAACGTAATACATATTAAAAACTCCAACTTCTTTAATTATAGAAGATTTAAAAATTTCATAAATTATTTTTAATATTTAATATTATCTTTTTATATTATCTTATATGTAAAATGATTCTCTTTAAAACTCAGCGAAAAATTTACACAAAAAAAACATGAGCACAAAATGAGAAGCATATACGCTACTTATTTTGAAGTTCAGCAAAAATGTGTCAAGTAGAGGGCGCCACGTTCCATGCCATTTTGAATTGCACCAGAAAGATATTTTTTGCCATACTATACATATTGTTATAACAATATATATATAGTATGGCAAAAAATACATATTTAAAAATACACTGAAAGAAATGCTGCGGTATATACTGCCATATATGTTTAGAAATTTTAGTCTGAATTGATGATAAATTAAGATTATGTTAGCCTACATAAAAATTTTGAACAACCGCATTTTGTAAGAAAGCGCATTATAATTGTTTATTTTTCATTTTTCAGGTAAGTAGTGGTCTCCAATCGTTCAGAAAAACCAACCAGTGACCCCGCCGGTACCGGACGGGAGATATGCGAAGCAAGCAACAGCCGAGGCCTTCCTTCCGGTGGCCGCAGCAGCGCGGCGATAACATTACCGGTAAATACACATGTATTTGAAAACACCACATTCAGCAAAAGATTTTCTTCATTTACCAACAATTACTTTTTTTACACATAATTTAGCATTGGACCCCAATATGAATGTAGAAATAAGTTTAATTTTTTAGTATTTAAGTAATTATTTAATCAATCCGAAACCATAAATCCTTAACACTATTATTATTATCATTATTATCATTATTATTATTATTATTATCATCATCATTATTATCATTATTATTATCATTATTATTATTATTATTGTTGTTGTACGTTGTTAATTAAATAAATGTAAGAATTTTTTTTGAACTAATTTCTAATTTACAGAACTCTAAAATAAGTATTTTAAAAATTTGCAGTTGGTAAAATATTAACAGTTTTATATAGTGATGATTTTGATACTACTGTAAACTTCTAAAGATGTTTTTCTTGTGTTTTGAAGTTTCTTTAAAAAATGGAAGAATTTTTGATTGAAATTGATATACCAATGTCGGCGAATTCTATATCGGTTGTGATATCGTCACGTCCGCAAATTGCAACTCATTAACCGATTATCGTCACCCGACGAGTTGGAGCGAGTCGTAAATCGGTAATTTACGGCGCCCATAAGCGAGTTAACCGCGATCGGTAACGCGTTGCGATCGTTCGATGAACCGGCGTGGGTTGTGTGTAGACTATATGGCCTATACACATAGTGGACACAAAATGTGTTCCAATATGTATGTTGCTTCAAAGTTACACACCCTCAATGCCATACGTAATTCACTTCTTCGAAGTAGTTCATAAATTACATTAATAGTCCATAATTATTTCTCAAAGTCCGACGAGCTTCTGCTGAACATTCTTATATTTTACAATCCCATAGAATATTTCTTTATTTTACTATAATATCAGAGTTTTTATATTCTCATTAAATATATATATTGTATATAGTTATATCGCAAAACTGTCGTTTTAGCATTTTTTTACTTTTTTTTCAATGTTTTTAAATTCGAAAATAAGTTTTATTATAATAGGTTTTTTTTTTAAATTGTTCGGAAATTAATCTGGAGTGTGATTCTGTAATTAGAATTCCCATTCACTTCACTTTCTCTTCAATTTCACTTTCACTTCTCACTCACTTCATTTGATATTCACTTCACTTTCACTCCACTTTTACTTTATTCACTTCAAAGTGAAATGAAAGTGAAGTGAAAATAAAGTGAAAATTGAGTAAAAATGGAGTAAAAATGAAGTGAAAGTGAAAATGAAAGTGAAAGTAAATCTACATCCACTTTTTCCAATTTCCATTTCCACTTTTTCCAATTTTAATTTTTCAATTTCCATTCCTACTTCCATTTCCAATTCCATTTTTTCTAATTTCCACTCTCACTTCCATTTACCCATTTTCAAATTTTATTTCTATTCCCTTTTCCAATCATACTTTTTCTAATTTCCATTTCCCTTTCCTTTTTTTCTTATTTCCCCTCTCACTTCGGTTTCCCCATTTAAGATTTAAGATATGCAACCTGAGACAAAATTCTAAAAAACGGAAGAAAAATTGTAAATTAAAAAAACTGAAAAAGAAAATGGAAATTGGAAAAATTGGAAATGGAATTAGGAATGGAAATTTGAAAAGTGGAAATTGAAGGTACAATGGAAACTGAAAAAAGTGGAAATGAAAGTGGGTATGGAAATTGGAAATGGTAGTGGAAATAGAATTTGGAAAAGTAGAAATCGAATAAGTGTAGCAATGGAAACAGGAAATAGTGGAAGTTGAAATGGAAATTGGAAAAGTGAAAATGGAAGCGGGAATCACAGGATTGAAAGAAATTTAACCTTGAAAATTGAAAAACGCTGTTTCTTTGTTACTTTTCGGGTTTTTTTTATTTTGGAACAAAATTTTTTTTTGTTTTTTTACAGTATTTTATTCTGGAATAAAAAAAATGGAAGAACTTGTTTAGAATTGTAAAATAAGCATAAAAAATTGGCGTTAAAAAATATTTAAATTTGTAAAAGTAGATCCATTTTTTCGGCTAAAATTTTTGAATATTTATATGAAATAAACTGTATTTTTGAATCATAAATATATTGTACAATTGTCCCCATCAATCTAAAATTTATATACCCAACGCTAACACAACAAGAATGAAAATAACTTTCTGCATTGAAAAAGAGAGAGATAGAGATTTGATTTATTTGTGACGGGAAATAAATGTGCGTGTTACTTTTAGTTACGCAATAAGATGAATTTTCGGAAGGTCATAATTGTATTTAGATTGACGTGAGCAAAACCGGTGAAGTGAACATTGTACCATACATGGGGTTGAGTCACATATATATATATATATATAGGTGAGCATGTATCACCTCTTGGCCCCAAAACGAGCCGTAAATCTGTAATTTATGTCGCTCTTCACACACGAAGCCGATGCGATCTCTGCAATCGATGCAATCTGGCAGAGATCGTGTCACTCTCCAGACACACCGAAATATCAAAATAATGAGTATTGCCATGCATTCAAACTGCGCCATTAATTAAGTCAACGTTGACAAGCGTCACGAGCCTCGAAATTACAGCTTATGCGATAACTGATCCCTGATCACTCGGTTTCCTTCCCATCAAAAATAAAATATTGGCAACCAAATGTGATTTACACAATTTTGTTACGAAACAAAAGAGACTCATGCGCGTATGGGACAATGTTGCGTCATATGAATAATGCACCCTATATAAATGTTCATAATATCCAAATGTATCGGTCAGAATTTTTTTTTCCGACTTTCTTTTCAGTATTTAGTCAGAATTTTGGAATATTCAGAATTACGGTTCATTTATTTTTTGTTCCAAAGGAAAATAGAAACGCAGGTTACAAATTGATTGATTTTCTCTCTCCTAATCGGTTGGAGTTGTCAGTTGTTCGTTGTCCACTTGCGGCTTTGATCCCAGTGAACCCTTCTTCTATAGTTTCCTTTTACAATTCCTTTACACGCAGCCTTTTAACATACCTTGTCGTTTTCTGGCAGCAGTCGTTACTCAAGTAATACGCTTTTAAACGTAACAATATAGTCATTCTAAATCAATCACTTTTCCCATTTCGCTAACCCTTTCCAGACGCCTCTGTATACGCGTTTCATTTCCTCTCTAACTCAGCGGGAACATAATAATTGCACAATAGTTTGCCACTCGATTGTACAAACTGAGGTATTTTATTAAAATACAATTGAAAAATTTTAAATTCCTGCAAATTAAAATTAATGATACTGTAGTTTAATCAAACATTTTGTTGTTGTACAATTTTAATTTCTAATAAGCAATTTAAAATTGCTATGATTTCTTCTAACTTGATATATTTCTGAATATGTTTGACAAAACTAATTTTTTATTCCTCTATTTGGAGGATGCATTTTTCGATATATAACACAATGCAGGGAATTATAATTGAGGAAAATAGGAGGCACATATAGTGTTTTTGAATGTGTTGTGCTGCATAAAGTAAAGGTATATATAACGTATATACACAGTGTACGTGACAACAAGGTCGTCAGGAGACAAGTAAACTCCCTCCCCTCCCTCGATGAAACCGAGTGAAACGCACCAGTGACATGACAAGTGAAATCCTGTATCCCTATATACGCTATATACGGGGGCGGAGGTCATAGGATATCGGTGCACGTCTAAATGAACCCTCAACCTTCTGCTTTGATTTCAAAGAGGTCTCTTCTAACAGTCGAGGAATATCCATTTAAATACCTGCCAATATATGAGAATCTGCGACGTGACCGGGGGTGGACTTATATGTACCCTTCTCGATTTCTCTCTCGTGCCAATCTTTTTTGACCTTTTCCATACATGCTCACCAATATTTCTGACAAAAGATAATTAACTTGGTCTAAAAATCATCGAAAAAAAAATTTATCTAGGAAAATTATTATTGTACATATATATGTAATATAGAGTTATAAAAGTACTCTAAAATCTTGTTTATAAATTTGCCTTGACGAACAAATGTGAATTTGGGTTTGTTTCATTTTCAAGTAAATTGTTTATGCACCGAACAAAAATGGAAAAACGAATAAAGTACCTTTTACTACTTTAAAAGTAAAACTTGAACTGTCCGCAGTTTCTGCGCACTTCTGGGGGTCGATTATGTAATTCCATTCCCAATTCCCCTTTTTTATTTTTATTCCCATTTCCACTTTTTCTAATTTTCGTTTCCAGTTCGATTTTTACTTCTTCTAATTTTCATTCCCATTTCCACTTTTTAATTTCCATTTCTATTTCCACTTCTACTCTTTCTAATTTTTGTTTCCATTTCCACTTCCACTTTTTCTAATTTTCATTTCCACTTCCATTTCCACTTTTTCTAATTTTTCTAAAGAAAGTGGTAATGAAAATTACAAAAAATGGAAGTGGAAGTAGGAATGAAAATAAGAATAAGTGGAAGTGGGAAAGGAATTACATAATCGACCCCCTGATAATTTTCACTCCAGAAATAGTACAATTTACTATTTTCGGAATAATTTGTACTATTTCAGAAGTAAAAATTGCCAGAAATGCGCAGAAACTGTTAAAAAAATTTTTAAATTCAAATTAGAATTCTTCTTATAAATTTATTAGGAGACAATAATGCTAAAAGTTGGTACGTAACCTTTTCCATTACAACCGTTACCATTGTAATCGTTACTATGGCAACCGTTTCTAAGACAACCGTTACCATAGCAACCGTTACTATGGCGACCGTTACCATAGCCACCGTTACCATTGTAATCGTTACTGTGGCAACCGTTACCAAGGAAAACTATTTTTTATTATATACAAACTAATGTTTGATCTGAATTTTAAAAGATACAAAACCTTAGATGAAGGCGCTTTGCTTACTGATTTTTGGTATTAAGCTTGGTTTTCGAAAAATAGTTTCTTCGATCCTAATTGAGCCCTAAATTATAACGCATAGTCAAAAAGTTCAAAATACTAAACCTTAAAAATGTTTCTTTGATTTAAAACTAAAATCAACG